CTCGCTCACCGGGATCGGAAGCCCGTTCTGCGGTTACTTCCCCCCGGGGAGCGAGCTCAGCGCTCCGCCTGTCTTCCTCCGAGGAGGTTGATGTGGTGGGCATCGATGAGGAATCGCCCCCTCAGTCGCCCCAGTATGCCCTTTGGGGATCCAGACCAGCAGAGGCTAAACTGCATGTGTCCAGTGCGGGCACTGGATGCTTACGTCCACAGATCTGCCCTGTGGAGGAGGGCGGACCAGTTGCTTGTTTGTTACGGTCCCCCTAAGAGAGGTCTGCCGGCAACTAAACAGACCCTCAGTCGGTGGATAGTGGATGCCATCTCCAGCTGTTATGAGTCCTCTGATCTCCCCTCGCCGTTAGGGGTCAAGGCTCACTCAACTCGTAGTGTGGCAGCCTCTAAGGCTTTTTTAGCGGGTGTTCCTATACAGGACATCTGCAGCGCTGCGGGTTGGTCCACGCCCCTTACCTTTGTTAGGTTTCCGACGCAGCGTCCCGTTCCCTCGAGGAACTAGGGTTACATACGTAACCCGAGACGTTTTTCACCAAGAAATTCAATGTTAAACATGAGTATTTTGAAAATAAATTGAAATAATGCAGCTTCAACAAAAGCATATATCATCAAATAACAACCTCATAGCTAACAGTAGGTCATTTTTAAAGGTTTTTACATTAGTGTTTAAAATCAGCTCCCTTATGGAGAAAATTAACGGAATTTTGACTTTTGGAACCCAACTGATGCACTCTGTAATTTAGTTTAGTCACACAGTATTTCTGCTTTGTGATGCGCAACAGTAGATACCTGCAAATATTTTTGAAACCCAGCTCACTGTTCCTGTTTTTACTAATCTCATGTGTGTATTTCCTACAGAACAACAGCGCAGCAGCCGTCGGTAAATACGTCTCCAAAGGAGACACCGGATCAGCGGCGGGAGAGTCTCTGTTTGTGGCCAACCACGCTTATTAAAGAAACACAACTGGCCACACTTCCACTGTTGAATCATTTCTGTGAGCCACAGCCACTATCGTTCCTCTAAGCATTTTCCCACTGTCATTTAACAATGATATGAAAGAACATAAGAGTCATTGTAACTGACCAGTCGGATTAAATCATTCAGTCCACCCCCGTTTCATGCAGTCAGTCTAATGATCTGTCCTGTTTTGTGTTTACAACCCTTTACAGTATTGCATCTGTTGTTTTCTTTTTCACTAGATATTTTGCAAATCAATAAAGAAACAATCCACCAAAACACTGATTGATTGCCTTCATGCACAAGTTCATGCATGGTCTCTGTTTCATCAATATAACTCTGAAGCAAATGTATTAGTTTTATTACTTTATTAATTATTCAATTACATTATGCACTTGAGATGTTTCAGATCACAGACTTGATAGTTATTATAAAACTGCACAGAAATATACAACTAGAGAAAGCAATCTGTTAGCATCTTAATGATTTTTAATGATTCATCAGTTTTAATTATTTTTACAAAACCTTTCTAGAAAATGTCACATTTGACTCCAAAAAGTGAAACATTAAATATATTAAATTAAAAATGAAATATTATTTTAAAATATGTACACATCTTTGTAGTATGTGTTCTGCTGCCTTTTAATGTTTGACTTTAAAAATAATCAAAAAAAGACTGTGTTATGTAATGAACGTATTTCATTTAAAATATCAAAAGTAAAATGTCACAGCACATTATTGTAATGAGATCTAGAGGCTAAAATGTAATAAAAAAAAACGTAATGGCCCTAATTGGTCCTTGTTTTCTTATGACTTTGGAGTGAAATTTGACCCCAACATTTCTTGACAGGCTTTGTGAGACCTGAGCTTTCAGTTCTACATTTTTTGAGGTGGGTATTTACAAGTTGGGAAGTTGTAATTATGACTTCTCATCTCGCACTCTGCCTCTACAAAATGATGAATAAAGAATGTGCATCAGATGTGTTTGTGTTTGTCCATTTTTAGGTGCTGTAAATGTAATCATTACATATTTGATCATAATTATCATAATTGTACATTAGTCATATTTTTGTACATGCAACTTTGCTGGTTTTATTATAAATGAAAAAAAATCATGAATTTCAAGAAATTCACCATCATTACAGATGCTGCATCGATTCTGTCCATGTAAATTTTTCTCACTGATAGGTCAGAAACTCTGGGCTTAAAGAAAGTTCAGAGTTTCTCACTCTCAATTATGACATTGTGGTGGTGTTAATTTGCATTCAATTTGCACGATATTTCCAACGTAACTTGAACCATCAGAACTTCCCACTTCATAAGTGCAAAAACTGCTCACCGGTAACATCCACTATAGACACTTTTGAAATGTGTATGTTGATTGCAATAAAAAATTATTTCTCCCCACATAATGATGTAGTTATGTTTCCAGTAGAGGCTGACTGGTCACAGAAAACAGAACAAGGACTTTTTGGTGATTCACTCATGAGCTTTAATTTTTCAGATGCTTTTTTTTTTTTTTTACCATTTTGTCACTTTTTCAAGTCGGTCAGAATTTCACTGTGCATTTTCTCTGTCACAAGTTCCTGTTACCCGTACCCCATTGCAGAGAAGTTCACAAGTCTATAACTTGGAGTCCGAGTCAAGTCTGAAGTCTTTACCGCTGGAGTCTGAGTCAAGTCTTGAGTCTTTGGTCACGAGTCCGAGTCGAGTCTCAAGTCATTTAATGGCTTTCTAAAAAAATCTAATTCAGAATCCTCATGTATTGAAATCTTCCTATTTACGAAGCTGTTTTATCAGTTAAAGACAAAATATATATTCTATGATCTGCTTTGTAAAAAAAGAGAGGTGTTAAGATCTAAGTTTATTGTACATCCAGCCTGTTATTTATAGGCTATGTTTTAATCCATTACCAAGTTCAAAACAGTTTTTCTGTAATGAAATTATATAATAAGAGTCCGATCTACCATGACACACAAGGAAATATGTGACACAGATATTACAAAACCATACAAATAAAGTATTTCTTTATTATATAAGTCAGGGGCATTCAATTAAAGTTCCAAGGCGTGGCCTCTATAATTTCTTCCAAGCAGAGGTCCGAACAACAACAAAAAAACATTTTTTATTTTTTTTTTTTACATGTATTGCATTTTTACATTTAGATACATGCAGAAAAAAAAATACTGTTTCTGTTCAGGGTTTTCCTGCCGAAATCTGTACTATTTTAATATTTTAGCCTACTTAAAAGCATTATCTAAAAACAATGTAGCTACAATAATCAAAACGTTCTCATCTTGAGCAGAAAAGAAAGATAACTAGCAATTTCAAAGTTCAAGTTCTATCCTAGCCATCTAACAACAATTTTCCAAATTATAATTACATGATTCTTTTGAAATGTTCTTAGCCTACAGATTAATAACGCTAAATGTAGATCAGAAACGTCTTGTCACATCTGGTTTGAACAGTCAGAGTCATAAGTTATAGATAGATAAATAGATAGTATAAAAAAATAACTATTTGCACCATTGTTGTTTTCTGCTGTGTTTTGTTGTTTCTGTTGTTGTAAAAATAACCGCGTCATCCGCAGCTTTAAACTTGGCGCCGGCGCGCGTCCGGTGAGAGAGAGAAAGCGCACGGAGCTGAAAGGGCTTGAATAAAGCGCGTTTGGCTTTTGATAAAAATACTAGAGGATATAGCACTGAAAGATAATTACCATAAATGAGCCTGAGCACTTGTTATGTGATCCGCTCCGCTGTTTTGACGCGCTGTTCACTTAAAATGGTGCTGTGTTACGGCTCGCAGTCCGGATGGATGCCAGGGTGCGGATGCGGTCTGCCTTTTGAATATCAGTTATATAAGGATAAAAGACTCGAGTTGCTTTTAAAATTTTCACGAGTCCTTTCCCTCGCGTCGAGCCAAGTCTGGAGTCATTTCAGGTCGGAGTCAAGTTTGAAGCCTATAAAAATGCGACTCGAGTCCAAGTCACTAACTCGAGTGCCCATCTCTGCCCCATTGCACGTGTGTGTGAGTCAGTTTAAAGTGACTGTAAGTGTGAGATGAGCATCATGAAGAGAATGATAAAATTAGAGTAGTGTGAGAGCTGAAGTGTGGCAGAGCATGTGAAGCTGCTGTCTGTGCCGTTGGACGAAAAGGTCACGAAGCCAATGGCGGCTCCTTCCACGTTCTCCGTGACCCACGTGTGGAACTCAGAGACACGTGAAACCACCTCTGGGAAACCTTCTTTGGCACAGCCCAGGCTCGTCCCAAAGCTGGTGATTCCAGCCTGGACCCACACAGAACCCTGTTTGCACAGTAACGGACCTCCAGAATCTCCCTGCAGACAGAGAAAGAGGAGCAGTGAAAACACAACCGCTGCGTTGCTTTAGTGGAATAGTTCACACTTTTGGTCCGTTCCTGATGCAGCTGCAATCATGATACAGTTTCAGGAGACTTATAATTTACAACAACTGTTACATTGATCACTGCTTGATTGCTACTTTTTTATGGTGCTTTTTGCCTTTTGGAAGCTTAACAACCCCAGTTCTCAATCGCTGCCAGTGTATTAAAACAAAAAAATGATTGCCAAGGAATCAAAAAAATAAAAATGGCAACTACAACTTTTTGTCTGACAATTCACCATTTCCTGGCATTTCTGAGTTTGCATCTCACAATTCTTACTTTATTCTCACATTTCTGAGATTCTGGGGGAAAAAAGTCACAGTTGCAAGATATGAACTCGCAGTTCAAGGAAAAAAGTCAAAAGTGCTATGAGATATACTCAGAATTCGGAGAAGAAATATCCAAATTGTAAAATATAAGCTCGCTATTGTAAGAAAAAAAGTCAGAATTGTGGAAGGCTTGTTACTATGGAAGATTATTTCTCTCACAGAATAAAAAATAGACTTCTTTCCTCACAATTGCGAGTTTATATCTCACAGTTTGGACTTTTCTTCTCAAAATTGCATGTTTATATCTCAATTCTGACTTTTTTCACACAGTTCTGAGTTTCTTTCTCACAGTTCTGATTTTTCTTCTCAGAATTCCAAGTTTATATATTTCAGTTGCAAGCTGACACCTAGCAATTCTGAATTCTTCTCAGAACTGCAAGAAAAAAAGTGCAGATTGTGAATTCGCAACTACCTTTTTTTCTGTGGTGGAAAAAAGCTTCTGTGCTCACCTGACAGATTCCTTTGTCTGCTCTCCCTGCACAGATCATCTGTGCTGTGATTGTAGCATCACCTACTGGCTTATACTGGCAGCTGCACTGTGAGCTGCCCACAACCGGGACCTCCACCTCCTGAAGAGCCTGCGGAGCCGGCAACGGTTCTGTCAAACACAGACTCTGAGAGTTAGGAACACAACAGCACTAATGGAAGATCCATAACACCCTCAGTCTAGCAGCTGTGACCACAATCGGTGGTGAAATTTTCTTCTTCATTTTTTTTTAGCATTGTTCATGTGAAATGGGAACACTGTGTATGATAAGAAAGTAAGTAAAGAATAAATATAAATAAGAAAATATCCACCTTATTTTGCAACACAGAAGTAAGCTATTTTCTGTGAATGTGCAAGACTTCTGATTCCTTAGCCACTATAAATAAAAAACTAGAAGAAGCTACATTCGCATATTCAAGTTACAAATGGCCGCACCTGCTCTTACATTAAAAATAACAAGGCTACTATAAGAATAAATAATAAATGAGAATCCTCATACAACTAATCATAAAGAAATAACATAAATAAAAAATGACAAAAACATGCCCATGTCTCATTTCACCACAAAATCAAAAAATAAATAAATTGTTTGACGGTAATTACAATATTCCTAAAACTGTCTGGACGGATTTCCTGGGAAACTGCATTCTTCTGTAGTTCATCTGTGTGTTTACATCATATCCGTAAATAAAGACAAGAAGGTTCGGCTTCTATAGCGCTTGTATGGTGCGATGGAAGGTGTGTTAAGGGGTTTTTGCAGATAATTGCCTTTTCTTCCTTTGTTTTGTATATCGGGCAACCTAGCGGTGTTAATAAAATATCACCCGAGGGAGTAGTAAGTATCCTACGGGTGATTATCCCCGCACACACAACACACTGATTGATATCCCTACAATTTTTCATTAAAAAAGGACATTTTTGCCCTTAAAATTTAATACAATATAAGGATTTTTCTGCTAAAAATGCTAAAAATCCTCCAAATTAAACACACTGTTCTTCAGAGCATACGATTTTAATTTGAGATTAAAAAGTTTAACTTTTAGCCAAAAACTATTTTTGATTTAAAAATCCCTTGAAACCATCACGCTGCTTTTTAATATATAGATTTTTTTTTTTTTACTGTAAAATCAACTTGGCCCTAAAAAAAGCTTAATTAGTAAAGATCTAATGCCCCATTTCTAAGCACATCCCAAAACCCAACAATGACAAATAAGATTGTGATATAATTATAAGATATGTGATATATTAGTTAAGATATAATTATGCAGAATTAACCTCAACCTAACCATAACGTGCCTAACTTTTTCGCACCGTCAGACTTTTCAAATTTATCCATATGTCTGCTCTTCTCTTACTCCCAGATGTTGACATTTTTGAACGTTTTATGAGACGTTCAGGAAGTGTATGTGTAACAGGGTTAAAAATGTTACTTTAAATGTTATAACTTTCACCAAAATTACTGTGTTTTTGTTCATTTAATAATTGTTTAGAGACCTCTTGTGGCGATAATAAGTATTTGGGGTAATTTGCCTTGCCTGTGAAACCACACCCCCACCCCCAGCAGAGAAGTTTATCTGATGCTGAGGGGTGGTAGGTAAAATGTGCTCCCGTAAAATGAGTTTTCTTTGTAACTTGACACTTGCTGATTTCACAAATAATATTAAGATAAACGGTTAATGATGTTGTGTAACAAGATGTTAAGTGACTGTGATTGTATTTGATGAACTTTGTGGAGTTTGGATGCAATTTGCTCGACATGTGCGTTGCATGGCTGACGCCATCTCTTTGAATCAAACACAGGTTTATCTCTCATTTCTGTTTGCTCTTTTAGATGAATGTACATGTGTATAAATGCCCACTGTCGCCAGAGGATGTATTTCTCTCCTTGTTGTGTTACAGTAAACAACGCATGAAACGCAGTTCTCTGTGTCCACCTGTGATTTATGTGCTGTTGGATGAGAAGCGTTACACATGCAAACTTATGCCTCGCAGGGTAGATCAGAGCATTTCAGTTTAAATGTGCGCATCTCTTCTTCTACGCTCTTCTTCTATCTTCTTCTTCTCTTCTTGTCTTCTTCACAAGATTCATCCACACAAAAATCAATATCAATATTTATCCCACTCATTCGAAACCACACCCCCACCCCCAGCAGAGAAGTTTATCTGATGCTGAGGGGTGGTAGGTAAAATGTGCTCCCGTAAAATGAGTTTTCTTTGTAACTTGACACTTGCTGATTTCACAAATAATATTAAGATAAACGGTTAATGATGTTGTGTAACAAGATGTTAAGTGACTGTGATTGTATTTGATGAACTTTGTGGAGTTTGGATGCAATTTGTTCAACATGTGCGTTGCATGGCTGACGCCATTTCTTTGAATCAAACACAGGTTTATCTCTCATTTCTGTTTGCTCTTTTAGATGAATGTACATGTGTATAAATGCCCACTGTCGCCAGAGGATGTATTTCTCTCCTTGTTGTGTTACAGGTATGTTTATTTGTTTGAATCTTGACTGTTAAAACTGTTCTATTAAGACAGATGCGCGCTGTGTTGCGTTCTGGTGTTTGTTAACAGCAGAGAAGTTTATCTGATGCTGAGAGGTGATGAATGTACATGTGTATAAATGCCCACTGTCGCCAGAGGATGTATTTCTCTCCTTGTTGTGTTACAGTAAACAACGCATGAAACGCAGTTCTCTGTGTCCACCTGTGATTTATGTGCTGTTGGATGAGAAGCGTTACACATGCAAACTTATGCCTCGCAGGGTAGATCAGAGCATTTCAGTTTAAATGTGCGCATCTCTTCTTCTACGCTCTTCTTCTATCTTCTTCTTCTCTTCTTGTCTTCTTCACAAGATTCATCCACACAAAAATCAATATCAATATTTATCCCACTCATTCCTACTTAAGTAACTGTGTTTTTTATCTCAATGCAATTAAGTTAAAGTAGTTTTAAATCAGCATTAATTAAAGTGAGTAAAATGATTTATAAATAATTGACTTTTTATTACAGTAATTAAAATTGTTCTGAATAGATTGCTTTCTTAATAAAAAAAAATGCACACACACAATTTTACTCTTGTTTTGTTTTTCTTAGATTTTTTTTGTTTTGTTTTTCTTAGATTTTCTTAGATTTCAAGAGATTCACTGGTGTTCTCAGGCTGTCAAAGCTACATATATTAAAGTATGAAATCTACAGAGTAATTAATTATTGCAGAGTTGTGTTTATAGAGGTTAGAACTGTAGAAATGTTACCCTGTGCATTAAAATGCGCTTCAGACACATATCTTTAGGTTGTGAACGACTGGTTCTGGTGCACTCACGGTTTTTGCCGATGTTTCCCCAGCCTGTAGCCCAGCAGAATGTGGCGTTGTGAAAGACACTCCCTTTGGATGCCAGGCAGACCGGACGAATGTATGGAGTGAAGGTTACAGGCTGGCTCAGTTTCATCAGGGAGATGTCATTATTGAACAGTGGGTTGTTGTACTTTGGATGGATGGTGATGGACTGAATACCAACTCTTACTTCATTTGGGTTGGCAGCAGACGTGATCTGGGTTTGTCTTCCCAGGTACAGTGTCCAGCTGTTGAGGTTAGTACTGTTGCGAATAGCGATAGAATAAACATTTGCTTAAGATAGAGAAAAGTTTCAGTAAATTTGCTACCAGTCTTATGGAAACAGTTTAAAACTTAAATGAATACTTCACCCAAAAATAAAAATAAAATGCAGAACATTTACTGAACCTCAGAGCAGGCCATTCAGGCATTGGCTGAACTGTTTACTGTTTAATGCAAGATGGCGGCGCACATGTATGCTGCGGCTATGCACTCTGAGTGGTTGTTGTTGTTTTTTATGTCTACACTGTTGGTATCTCTGTCGGTGAGCACCTTGACATATAAACGGCAAGATTTATTTAGGATTGGAACGTTATGCGGGGAATCACATTTCACTAAGAGTTTTTACATCGATCATCTTCCGTCGGAGATCGCTTGACCAGCAGGGAGTCCGTGGATTACTATACTGGGCGAAAGACGCAAGAGGCGGAGCAGAGATCGACGCCAGAAGCGCGGCTGCAGAGCTGCCGTTCAGATCCGGCTAAAGAAATGTCTATACAGGCCAGCGTTACCCAGTATTTTTTTGACAAATGCTAGATCACTCGGTAACAAGATGGACGAGCTAGCAACGACAATTGAGGTACAGAAGTTGTTACAGAACTGCTCGGTTATGGTAATAACAGAGACGTGGCTACACCCGGGGATACCAGACGAAGCTATCATGCTAGCGGGCCGCACAGTGCACCGGGCTGACAGAAACAGCGACTCCGGCAAGAGAAGAGGAGGGGGACTGTGCATCTACTCTAACAACAGGTGGTGTACAGATGCTACAGTCATGGGAAGACATTGCTCACCTGATTTGGAGTTCATTACACTGAGATGCCGGCCCTTCTATCTGACGCGTGAGTTCACTGTAGTTGTTGTCATAGCTGTGTATATTCCACCTAGTGCTAACATTACAGTGGCATTGAACTTTTTGCTAGCAACAATCAACAAACTGCAGTGTGTGCATCCCGACGGGATCTTTATTGTAGCTGGGGACTTTAATCGTGCAAATTTAAAGAATGTCCTTCCTAAATTTTATCAGCACGTTACATGTTCGACGCAAGGTCAAAGCACACTGGATCATGTATACAGTAACATCAAGGAAGGATATCAAGTCTCTACCCACCCTCACTTGGGCCAGTCTGACCACCTTTCCCTTTTTCTCACCCCAGCATATAGAACTCTTATTAAGAAAACTATTCCTAAGGTGAGATACTTGCGGTTCTGGCCAGAGGATGCAATCTCACAACTGCAGGACTGTTTTGAGCACACCATATGGGACATATTTGCACAACAGGACCTGGCAGACTTTACATCCACTGTTTTGTTTTATATTCACACCTGTATTGATAATGTCACTGTTGAGAAACGGATCAAATATTATCAAAACAGCAAACCATGGATGACTTGACACGTCAAGCAGCTGTTGAGGGACCGAGACACAGCCTTTAGGTCTGGAAACATGGAATTATACAGCGCTGCCAGATCCAACCTAAAGAAAGGTATCAATGAGGCAAAAGCAGCTTACAGAAGAAGGATAGAGGGACATTTCAGCGAGGGGGACTCCCGGCACGTCTGGCAGGGCATTAAAGGCGCTTTTCCACTGCATGGTACGTGTAGAGGCGGCGCAACTATAACGACATGTGAATAATCCCGCCCACTCTAAAGCGTTACTAAACTGCAGTGGAAACGCAAACGGAACCGTGCCGTGCCGTACTGAGCCGTGCCGAGCTGAGTCGTACCACGCAGTGGAAAAGCGCCATAAGTACCTCACAAACCTGAAGGGCCCTAAAGATCTATCCAGCAGCACCAGCAGTAACCTGGCTGAGGAGCGCAATTATTTTTTGGCACATTTTGAGCAAACAGAGGCAGAGACCAGGCTCACATCAGCACCATCTACAGACAACCTGACACTCACTGTGAGTAAGGAGGACGTCGGGAGAGTGTTCCGGAGTGTTAATCCCAGGAAAGCTGCTGGACCCAATGGTATTCCAGGGAGTGTACTGAGGGACTGCGCGGACTGAGGTTTTTACCTCCATCTTCAACCTCTCTCTGTCCACCTGCACTGTTCCCAAATGCTTCAAATCTTCCATCATTGTGCCTATCCCTAAAAAATTCACCTATCAGTAGCCTCAGTGACTACAAACCTGTAGCTCTTACCTCCACTGTCATGAAGTGCTTTGAAAGATTGGTGTTAAAGGGGTCATATGATGCGATTTCAATTTTTCCTTTCTCTTTGGAGTGTTACAAGCTCTTGGTGCATGAAGAAGATCTGTAAAGTTGCAAAGACTAAAGTCTCAAATCCAAAGAGATATTCTTTAAGAGAAAAAAAAAAGTTAAGAGTCAACCACGCCTACCTAAAATGGCTCGTTGTAACACGCCCCCACATGTCTACGTCACAATGTGGGAAGACTCTGTTTGATATAATCCGTAATTATGTCCCCACTTGATGCAACAAATGCCTCGTTTATAATGGGTTTTAATGTTTTTGTCTCGTCGATCCGGCCGGACATGGCATCACAGTATGGTAAAGGGCGTAACATTTCCGGATGTAGATTAGATTGTTTCTTCATCAGAACAGATTTGAAGAAAGCACTGTTATGTATAGAGGACTCATATTTTAGCTGGATGCAATGGCATGATGTTAAAAACGTCTTGATGATGGATTTGTTTCAGCTTTTGTCTTCTCCAGATGTTAACTGATGGACTGGAGTGGTGTGGATTACTTGTGGATTATTGTGATGTTTTTATCAGCTGTTTGGACTCTCATTCTGACGGCACCCATTCACTGCAGAGCATCCATTGCTGAGACACTGATGCAATGCTACATTTCTATAAATCTACTCATTCTGATCTTGAATGGCCTGAGGGTGAGTAAATGTTAAGCAAATATTCATATTGGGGTGAACTATTGTTTTAAGCTGCTAAAGATTGAAGAGTCATGTAGCAGTGCTTCTTACGAGATGATGCAGTGAGCAGCCGTCATCACCCACTGGCTGTGGATCAGGGTTCCTCCACAGATGTGTCTGCTGTTGTAATGGACACTGACCTGCCAGGGCCAGTTACCCGCAGGGGCATCAGTGCCGCCCACTACACGTGTATTTAGAGGAGGTACTCCACAGTCTGCAGCCACTAAATTATGTGCACAATATACACAATATATTCTATCGGTCAAAAGTTTGGAATAAGATATTTCAATGTTTTTGAAAGAAGTCTCTTATACTCACCAAAACTGTATTTATTTTTATCTAAAATTCCGTAAAATAACAGTAATATTGTGAAAAAATATTTAAAGTATAATTTAAAATAGCGGTTTTCTATGTGAATATCTGTTAAACTGTAATTTATTTCTGTGATCAAAGCTGTATTTTCAGCATCATTACTCCAGTCTTCAGTGTCACATGATCCTTCAGAAATTATTATAATATGCTTATATTAGTTGTGCTGCCCAATATTTTTGTGCAAACCCTAAGAAAAGGCTTCTTTCAAAAACATGAAAAAATCGTAACAATTCCAAACTTTTGCCCGGTGGTGTAGGTGCTGCTCTTATTGTTTACCGTCTGTGCATTTGAGCCTGCAGAGTGAACAATTTCAAACTTTTAAAGAACTTGCCTAATCCGGACTTCACCTGAAAGGTGTAAATACATATGCTAATAATAACCTATGCAGTTTTACTTTTATGTAAATGCACCCTGTTTTAAGGAAGTTTTGATATTCTTACTGGAAAATAACAAAAAATAGTGATTAAGGTAATTATTGATTCAGTGTAGTGAATGCATTAGAAACTCAGAGTTTCTACACATTTAAAAAATTAGACATTTTTTTAACAAAATATAGTTGAGACACAATTCACAATTGACTCTGCAAACACACATACTTAAATACTCATAATCAAACTCACCCTCCATACTGAACATCATGGCTGTAAAGCTGAGCAGGATCACTGACAACTCCATGGCTGAAGTGAAAGACTGGGAAAGAGAGCTGTCTTATGTCTTCTCTCTCTTTAAATCGCCTGTTTGACGTGTCTTCTTGGTCTGACACAAGTAGGCCAATTGTTCATGTAATAAAACAGGTTAGACGTGTCTCATTCTTTCCTATAAATGAAAGTATGCATGATGACGGTGATGCCAGTATAGCTAAAACACGACCTATATCCTTTATTTTATAAATAAACCCAATTAATATTTTTTTACAATTTTTGCATAGACCTTTTAGACCAATTATTATAGACCTTATAGACTTTTTTTTTTTTTGCAAAGCTTTTAATATTAGGAAAAGATCCACCAACATGGTCCTTTTGTAAAAATCCTTTATTTCATTAAAAACAAACAAACAAACAAACTTTTTACTGACAGTGGCTACGTTTACATGCACCCAAATAATCCATTTGTAATGGGATTGACGGCTCAATCAGACTGAAAAACATTCATGTAAACACCTTAATCGATCCGATTAAGCTCGATCGGAATTAAATTTCGATCGGATTGAAGGGGGTGGTTTATTCCTTTTCTAATACAATTGAGAGTGCATGTAAACACTCGATCGGATTGAACCCCGAAACTGAAAGGACTGCGCATGTGCAATGACGCAGAAATAGAGTAATGAGGCATGACGCGCAGAACGAGCGGTTCTTCCTTTTGAATAAAGTGTTGTATAAATGCGTGTCCTGTCATTATAAAACTCTGCTTTCACTCAGCAACTGTGAAGGGGAGCAGGACAACCTCCCACCAGTCCTTGTTTTGGATTCTCATCCACAGGCAACCCGTTTTGGGAGCTGGGAGGGGTATTTTTAGTGTGTGATAAATATGTGCAGCACAGCATAGCGGTTTATATGTGTATTTTTCCATAAATTAATAAATATTAATTCTGCTGTTAAAAACAAATAAATAAACCGTGTAGGAGAGTGGTTATTATGTGCAAACAGTGAGAAACTCTATTTTTGTGCAGTGTGTGCATGTAAAAAAAAATCAATTCTGATTTGAAGCTTGTGACATACAAACATGCACATCAACCCGTCTTTAGCGTTCATGTAAACACTACATTCAGATTCATCAATCGGAATGAATTCAGTCCGATTGAATCAAAAAATGTGCATGTAAACGTAGACATTGTTGCCACCTTGGCAACCAAGTACATTCACTTTATTTACTTATTTATTTACAAAATAAAAACAGGAAGTTTAATTAGAGGCAAAATTGTTGGTTGTGATGGAAATAAAGCTACAACTGAGATAATTTGTGCAAATAATACTCCTAGCAAATATTGAACTGTTTCATATTTCTTTCATTCTTGGTTTAGATTATAATAGGTTTTGAAATGTAATAATTAAAAATCATCCCCTGGGACACAGTGCCCATTTTTATGAGTTATAAGCTGTTATGAGACTCTTTTGTTAGCAATATTTGAACTGGGTTTATGCACACAGCATCAATGCAATGCAATGCCACATAGCAGTGTTTGCGTCTGATATATTTCTGGAAATAGACAGGAACTATGAAGCTTTGCTTTGAATTTCATTCTGTTGTTACATCTAAAAGAATCAGATTAGCTCCAGTTGTATTGTTCTCTCCTTTGGCTTGGATACATTGCTCTTTTGTGTATTATTGTCATTTGTAAATAGCTTTGCATAAAAGCGTCTGCTATAGATGAATGAATGTAAATGCAAACTTTGAAAGACTGGATTATCTAGAAAGTGATTCAACAGGTCAGACTCTAAGCACATCTGAAGGGTGAATGATGCCATGAAACAGCTTCTGTGTTGCTCATTAAAGTCATTAAAGGAACTTACAATGTTGGTATTGACTTCCATGTTATGGAAAAAATACAATGGAAGCCAATGGCTATCGGCAACTGTTTGCTTACCAGCATTCTTCAAAATATCTTCTTTTGTGTTCAGCAAAAGAATGAAAGTCGTTCAGGTTTGGAGGGTAAATGGAGTAAATTATGACAGAATTTTCATTTTTAGGTCATTTTTGGCCAAATAAGTTTGTCTTGCAATAATGTTTTAATTCTTCATTATATAGCCCTAGATGAGACCTAACATACCACAGTGTTAAAATAAATGTTGATGTGTGTAACAGTGGCCCCTTTATTCCTGTCTGAGGGGCCCTGTGTTCCTTATTTTCTCTCTCTTTCATTCCCTCTGTCACTGTAAATCTTTTTACTCTTTTTGTCTTTTTACTGTTTCTTCCAAGACCATTCTTCCTTTACCTTTCTAATCCCAGTTTAACCCTTATTTCTTTGACGATTCTTACTGTGAAATTGTTGAAACCTTTCTAAACTGAGCTTGAGAAAGAGTATAGTCTGAATCAACAAAGGGTTAATCGCTTGATTGGTAACATTTAAAATACATAACAGCTAAATTAATGTTTCAAAATATAATATAAAATATAAATCTTTAAAAATACAGTTAAAATACATGTTGAAGAAATTCATCTAATTTCAACTGAATAAAGAAAATATTCTGAAAAATATGAATTAGAAAGGTATTAGTCGAACAAGCAACAAACAAGCACTGTGATATGCAGTGATATCCATATTTATCTAATCTGTTGTGCTTTGAGATATGAGACAGGCCTTGATTTATCACTGATTTGACTGAACACAAATGTCACTATCTAGATACACCTGGCTGAAGAGTATGAACTCCAGTCACGTACAGTAATACTCGTATCCTCTAATAAAGCTGGTTACTGTGTGGTCAGAGCTATAAATATTGTATAGCACAAGCTTCTAAAACTCTTCATTAAGTTAATGTTTCACCACAGAAGATCTCTCTCTCTCGCTCTCTTAGTAGCCAGTGTTTACCCTCTTCACACCATTTAACTTCTCTCTCTTTCTCTCTCTTAGTGATCAAACTGAACGACGCATTGAAAAGTAGATATAAAGTTTGTACACCCCCTTTTCACAAGCACTCAGCGTCTTTCTTTTGCCCGCTTGATCCCCGCCTACTGTCCCCTGCCCTATATAAGTGTGTTTCTCAGTATGCAATACAAAGAGCAAGAAGCAATGAAAGAAAGAAATAGAGTAATGATAAGGAGTATGTTCACACTCCAGTAAATCGCCATGAAGTGTAAAGTCCTGTTCTATTTATGGTTGTTGAGCCTAATAAAGCCAGGTAAGTACTAGCCCATGCATCTCATTACAGCAATAACACATTTTTCTCTTTAAATGTATTGTTTTAAGTTAAGGTTCTTTTAAGGCTTTGCTAATATGGTCATTACTGGATTATTATATTTGAATTTAAAGTTGTATGTCTGTTCATGTGAATACCAGAAATAAACCAGAACGAAACACTGAGGATTCAAAGCCAATGCTGGCAAAATGTGTGTTGTCAGTCTCCCAGATAATAAATTATACTGAGAGTAAATAAATGGCACTTTAAAACAGTGTTACAGTCAGTAAAATTGATGTCTGTTGTACAAAATACAAAACTGGGTACCTGAGCTGTTGTTTACTTGCTCCTGAAACGGAATATTTTAATGCTTTGTAGAAAATCAAACCCTGAATATGGAGAAACAATAACTATGTGTTTCATATTTTTAATCCAGAATTGTACATGTTCATCCATCGCACTGATGGAGTGTTTATTTCTCAAGTATACATCATTCCAATGCCCAAAATATTCATTATCTGAGTTATTGAATAAATTAATCAACAATTATCACTGACTCATTATTGTTATTAATATTATCTATTAAAATTGACTCTTTTTACTATTAATTAAATCATTTTTCATAGTTTTTACTGTGAATATTTATTTTTAATGCACTCTGTCAATAGAGAATGACATTTTTAATCAGAAACACAGCAGAGAACACTTTAACTCAAATGACCAAAGCAAAGAAAGGTTTAGGCAAGATTTGGATGTTGAATTTGGTCTTGTGACATTTGTACATTTTTGTGTGTTATCTCGTCTTGGAAATAATAATATCATACATAGTCAGAGGTCTAGCAGTACGCCTAGTTAAGTATTATATAGAAGATGAGTATTATCCAAAACAACTGCAGTACACTTAATAAAGTTATAGCCCCCTGAATTCAAGTGCTTTTCTTGTTGTATTGCTCATTTGTCACTTTTGATAAAAGCATCTGGTAAATTAATCAATATAATCGGACAACCTTTAAGATTCTGTTATAGAGGTACATTCAACCATCATCTAAATCAAGCACAGGCTTTGAGCGACTGCTCTCGTTTTTGGTCCTTTCATATTGTTCTGATATTCTCAGGCTCCTCTGCAGATGTCTCTGTGTCTCCGGGCTCCTCGGCTGTCCTCAACTGCTCCTTTACATTGCCGCCTCTAGCTGATGATTCACTCTTGAACATCACCTGGTCCTTCAGCGGTTTAGTCATTGCCTCAAGGAACCACACTCAACCAGGCTTCTTCTTGAACACCACTGCCTCCTTCATTGGCTCCTTCCCACTGACTGTTTACAATGCCACTCCAGACCAGCAGGGGGTGTACGAGTGCAGGGTGAGCTACAATGAAACCAATTACTCTACAGATGTGACTCTGACAATGTTAGGTGAGTCTAATGCCGGTTTCAGACTACACAATATTTTTGTCGGTCACGATAGTCACTGTGTCAGATTACACGATTTTGACTCCTAAAATCTTGTCGTGTCGTGGGCAAGAAACATGTCAGACTACACGTTGCTTCCCAACCATTCATCGCGTGCCGTCTTTAACGACGCGCGTGATGTCATCGAGAAGGCGGAACTAGCGACTGACTTCTGAAAACAAGAGTGTAAACATTGCTGAAGCACTTCCGCTATAGTTCCCCAGCATTTTTCTTTCTTTGTTCTGTCGTGGTAGTCCCTCGATGACACATCATACAGGCAGGAGTACTGCTGCCACAGCTCCACAAACCTTTCCTCCATCTCATAATTCCACCTAGCAGCACCATCATCTCTCTTTCGTTTTGCCATGTTTGAAACCGGTGTATGAAAGCG